TACAGTATTAAACAATAATTGCACCAATTCCTCTTGTCAACAATGCTCCAGAAAATAAAAGCCCAATATACCTCTTCCGTTCTCCATGCACCACTTTCTTCCACCACCCTCCAGCTTTCTAGCTTCCCTCCATCATACCCCTCTACCCTACTTCCCCTCGCCCTCTACCACTCCTCTCTCCAGATCCGCTCCCCCCCTTCCTTTTTGCCTTCCCTCCCACCCTCTCTCCCCTCCCTCTCTACCCATCTTTCTTCTTTCCTACTCCTCCTCCCCTCAGTGTATTTCCACTATATGTATTTGGCTTATCCTATTTTTAAAGAGAAAAATTAGAGAAAAACAGTATACATGTGAAGTCACATTGCATTGAGATCTAACACATCGTGTCTAGCCTAATATATATCCCGCCACCCTCCCCCCCGACTTCCCAGAACCCGTACGCGGTATAGATTTTTAACAAACACAGTCTAAAATCTATTGAGAAAAAAGAAATTAAGAAATTAATAACATCTCTACATAAACTCTGCTGCTTTTATCCCTCACCTTTGACCCTGCTGAATTACAGATATGTTCCTGAGAATTATAGTTTTAGTTATATCTGGGAAGCCACATGATCTGGGCTCCAGCCAAAGGTATGATAAAATGGCAATGGCGAGATTTAGGGCTACGTTAGAAAGATAACGAACTTGGCACGCCCTTGTAGTAGGAATAGATGATATTCCCTAGCAGGTATATTTAAGTGTTCTCCAGCATTTTATAGTTTGCATTTGATAACACAATGCAGTTTGATAACTCAGGCATTCAGTGAATTCTCTCTCGTAGATACAAAGCTGCAGTGTCGACAAGCAATAACAGATTACTTTAGTTTATAGTGTTAAATCGGTTCTAGTGCTCATTAACGAAATGTATGTAATCATAAATAATGACTAAAACAACTGTAATTTTTGCAAGTGCTGTTTTAAAAAAGTTGATTTAAAAACCTGGGTGCATGTTGACACGGTATGGCGGAGTGCTTGTCATACTCTTAATAATAAAACGATCTGAATACCTTGTCTGGATTTCTTAAGATTGTTTTGATTAATAACAGGGTTGCCAGTCTGATTTGCTGGATTGAGGAGGCCATTTTAGGAATACAGGAGGTGATGCTAAGGTTTTTCTAATTATGCCAGCTTTAAATAATAATATTTTAACAATTGCTATTAGCTGCTTTCCAAAACATACATTTTGGGGGGGGGGGAATTTTGACTGGGCTCACACTACACACGTATCAAAGGAAGTCGTTAATCCTTTTATTCCAGATATTTTTTTAAATATGCATTTTTTTCCCTTTGGAGTTGAAGTGTGTCAAAGCCAAGAAATTATGGGATTAAACAAAATAACATCATGATGACACCTGCCCCCAGGTAAAGGTATATAGTATATGTCTATGCAAATACAGATAATCCTTGATTTATTACCACAATTGAGCCCCAAAATTTCTACCACTAAGCAAGGGTTGACACAATTGTTAAGTGAATCACTGCAGTTGTTGAGTTAATAACATAGTTTATAGTTTATAGTTTATTTATTTGTATGCCGCCCTTTTCCCTGGGGGGACTCAGGGCGGCTCACAATCAAAAGGAAGGGGGGGGGACAGACTTTTACATATAAGACAGTACATGATTAAAACGCAACATTCATACCATTCGGGC